CTAGTGACAAAATGCCTAATTCTTTAGATAATGTTCTAGGCTCTAAATATTACCCAAACCTACTATTTCTTTATCTTTCAGAATAAATCTCCCACAATACCCTGAACTCTATAATCAGCAGTGCTTCACTAACATTTCCCTATAATCTTTACTTATGCTATTCATCCAGCCTCTCCCACAAGCCCTAATAAAATTGAACCCCATAAAAGATGAGGTTCAAAATCTCCATACCTTCAAAAAGCCTTCCACAATCACACTGGCCAGGTTCTTTCCTTTCATCTAGGACAGTACTTCATTTCTCCCTTTAACAGCACTAGTTATATTTTGTCTGCATGTTCAATCTAAATTATCAAGTCACTAAAAACTTAATTGGATGTGTTTGGATTTTCCACGTAACCAGGTACTGCATGTTACATTAAGTAAATACATATTCAACTGAACTGATTTATTCAAATAAGAAAATCACTGTGCACCTAACTGCAAAAAGGGGAAACGTTGGCTCTCTTTTCAAGCGCAAGAATCAATTCTGAAAAGGAGTCCCTACTTTCTTAACAAGCAACTACTGTATCTATTTCATTCTACAAATTATTTAATGAATTACCTACCACATGCCAGATGCTATTAATTTGATTGGTCTTATGTTCAACTAGTAGAGTACTTAATGAATACCCACTATATGTTCTAAATGATAAGGATGCAACGATGAAAAAATATCTTAGAAGATTAAAGATTGTAGTCTAATGGTGAGAGATATACAGGACTTTGAGATTTTGCTCTGTCATAACTGTCTATTAGTTAGTGCCCACTGTGCGCTCGCTTACTCTCTCTCTCAATCCCTCTCTCGCTGTCTGTCTCTATATGTGTATGTATGTATTTTGAGGGGGGCACCAACTCAGGACCCTGCACTTGTGAGGCAGGCATGGTACCACTGAGCTAAATCCCCAGCCCCCATTGCTATACTTTGAAAACCAGAGGATAGTGGAAGATTCTGGGAAAAGAAGTGACATTACCTAATTTTCTGTTTGTTTATATGTATTTATGTATGGGATTTTTTGATACAGGGTCTCACTAGGTATTTCAGGCTGGCCTTGAACTCACTATGTGGCCCAGGCTGGCCTCAAACTCCCAGCAATCCTCCTGCTGTGTTGGAATACAGGCATGTGCCACCATGCCCAGCAGTAGTTTTCCTTTTAAAGAATCACTTTGCTATTCTGAGAACAGACCAGAGAAAGACAAAGATGAAAAGATTGGTAAAAAGACTGTATTAATCCAAGTGAAATGACAGTGGCTTGGACCTGCCTGGCAATGAAAATAATAAGTAGTCAGACTCTAGATAAAACTTTGAAGATAGAGCCAACATGACTTTGTGAAGGACTTGGATACGCAGTGTGAAAGTAAACATGACTCAAAGCTTTTGGTTGATACACTAGAAGGACAAATTGCCCTTTACTGAAATTTTAAACACAGGGCAAAGATCAGATATGTTGACAAGATCAGGAGCTCAGTCTGGTGTATACTGAGTTTAAAATAATATGGTGGGTACGCAGGCATTTGAGAAAACAGAAGATGCAGGAAGGTCACACTCACCTTCCCTTCACCCTTTCTCTACTGAAACAAATCATAAAACTTTCATTCCAGAAGTGCCTACCTTATACCTAGTACAAAGAATGTCCTTATCTCTGAAGATTCAGGGACACAGGAAAGAACCTGAACAAAAAAGGCTATTGTGGCCAGGCATGGTGGTGCTCGCCTGTAATCCCAGCACTTGGGAGGCTGAGGCAGGAGGATCTCTGTGAGTTTGAGACCAGCCTGGACTACATAGTGAGTTCCAGGTCAGTCTCAACTACATAGTGAGACCCTGTCTCAAAAAAAAAGGTATGGTAAATTTCCTTCTAGTTTACTACCAGTAGGACACAATCCCTTTATCTAAAGATATTTCTGTACCACTGTCTACTTTTCATTAAATGTAAGAGTAAAAATATACAAATTTCACTGTTTTTTTTCCTTTCTTTTTTTTTTTTTTTTTTTTGGTACTGGGGATCAAACTCAGGACCTTGCGCTTACAAGGCAGGCAGGAGAACCACTGAGCCAAATCCCCGGCCCAGATTTCCCTATTTTTTTACATCTCCATAGTGTCATATAAATTTTTTTTCTCTTGAGACAGGGTCTTGCTATGCAGTTAAGGCTGGCCTTGAATTTACTATGTAGCCCAGGCTGGATTCAAACTTCCAGGAATCATCCTGCCTCAGCCTAGTGGGTGCTGGGATTATAGGTGTGTGCCACAATGACCAGCTCATGTATGACTCGTACATAGCAAATGTGCGTGCTTTTCACTTGTTAATCTGTCTTCTGTTATAGGTAACTCAGCCACAGGTTTAACTGTGGGTGAATAAAGAAATTTTCCTCCTTTCTTTCCTTTTTTCTTTCTCTCTTCTCTTACATGTAACTTTTTCCAATTTCTTATTAGTTCATGTTTGTAATACATAGTGTTTACATCATAAGAAAAAAAAAGAAAAGAAATTTTCCTCCCTAGCCAGGCGTAACAGTGCACACCTATAATCCCAGCACAGGAACCTGAGGCAAGAAGATCACCATTGACTCTGAGGCCATCCTGGTGTATACAATGAGTTCCAGACAAGCCTGAACTACATAGCGAAACCCTGTCTCCTGTCTTCGAAAAGAAAAAAAGAAAAAAAAGCACACTGATTCATTAGTTTTCCTCATGCTTATCAGATAGTCCAGTAAAATGTTGGGTGGAACAGCTGTATATGGAAACTTAAAGTTCTGAGAGAGTTCTGGACTAGAGATTCAAATTTGGGAATCAGCAACATACAGAAGATACTGAGATTACTAAGGAAGTGAATAAAAGTAATCTAAGAACTGGACTTTGAGCCATTCCAAATTTCAGAGATCTAGAAGATGAAAATCAATAAAGCAAAGAAGACTTGAAATAATGTGGCCAGTGATTCAGAGGAAAAAAGTCTCTGAATGAGATATTCCTGAAAGTCAAATGGAAAAAGTTTATCAGAGGCAGTAGCAGTAACTACATAAAGGAGCCAAAAGACAACTGCAGAAACAATAACTGAATATGTAAAAAAAAAAAAGAACTAATATGCACAAGTCTAGTGGAAACATTTTCTAGTTAGGAAAATAATCTAACAGCTGGAAGTGGCACATGCCTATAATCCTGGCTACCTAAAAAGTTGAAGTAGGAGGATAACAAATCCAAAGCCAGCCTAAGTGTGACTGTCCATGATGACACATTAACCCAATTGATTGGATTAAGAATGCCTAACAGCTGGGCGTGGTAGCGCACACCTGTAATCCCAGCACTCCGGAGGTTGAGGCAGGAGGATCACTGTGAGTTCAGACCAGCCTGGGCTACATAGTGAGTTCCAGGTCAGTCTCAACTACATAGTGAGACCCTGTCTCAAAAAATCAAAAATAAATAAATAAACAAACAACATAAGACCTGTCCAAAAATAAAAAACAAGACAAAAAAGAGTGCCCAAAAGATCAGTGGAGTACACTTTTGGGTGCATCTGTGTAGGTCATGGAGGCATGACCTTGGATAATATGTATGGCCTGTTACTTTCTGGCACTGTTCCCCTGCTCTGCTTCCTGGCTGCCAATGAAATAAAGTGTCTTTACTCTACCCCACCCTTCTACCACAATGTTTCTGCCTTGGAGCTGGCCGACTGCGAACTGAATCCAGTCAAACTGATGATTCAAATTAAGCCTCTCCTACTGCAAGTGTGGGTATTGGGTATTGTGTCCCATCGACTACAACTAATATACTTGGTAATTCAGCAAGACCCTATCTCAAAAATAAAAATAAAAACTAACCGTGGGTGGGGGAACAACTCAGTGGTAGAACATTTTCCTCACAAGCATGAATGGGGGCGACACTTTGAAATTAAATACATCTTAAAAAGATACTGCTTTTGTACTTATTTTGGGGGGGGTATGGGGATTGAACTTGGGTCCTTGTGCTTGCAAGGTAGGCGGCGGCACCACTGAGCTAAATCCCCAGCCCTACTTTTGTACTTTTAATTGCAATTATTTAAAAAACAATGTTACCACTATCAAGTATGACAGCGCCAATAATTTATTTTTAAAACAATGTTCATGGGTTTTCTCTCATTATAAAAAGATCCCAACTTTAGGGTGTAGAACATGCTCCCCCAAAAATATGCCAAATTTTAAGATAAATTTTCATCTATACCAGAAATCTCCATTTTTAAAGTTGCCTCTTCAGAACCAGAAAGTGAGAAGCAAGATTAAAGTACTAGAAACTTACCAAGCTGCCTAACAAATCTTTTTGTTTATGCTGCTGTTTCTAGTTATCTCGTTATGACTGGGTCTCCCCCACACTTTTTTTTATTTCAGAGGATGTTATTATTTAAGTCACCCCTTTGAGATTTAATATTTCTCCTATCTCCAATGTGTGAGATATATATGTTATTAAACTTTTGTCTGTTCTCTTGTGAGTCTGTCTTTTGTTATAGGAACAACAACAAAATACTACACAAAGCAAAGAAAGAAAATTACTATTCTTGTCTATACTATGTTCCTTAGAAAAACTAAGACAGAAAAGCTCTGAAAATTAGCAAAATTCAGCCACAGTATCATCTAACCATCTCAACAGCATATTTTATTTCTTTACAAGAAATATTTTTAAATGTTTTATGACTACTTCTCTACCCAATAATGGTTCTTAAACTCCAGTAAGAGAATGTATATTTTGTGGGTTTATAATTGAGATATATGTCAGCAGAGATAACTGAGCTATTGAAGCAGGAAAACTGCTGCTAGTTCTTGGCCAGCCTTGGCTACACAGTGAATTCGAGGCCAGCCTGAACTACATAGCAAGACCCTGTCTCAAAAAAACAAAAAACAAAAACAAAAACAAAAAAAGATACTGAGGTATAACCTCAAAAGAGCACATGACAATTAGAGGTATGCATTTAGTATCCAAACAGAATTTTTACATTTCTTACCTGATTTTCTTCATCCTCAAATACAAAATCTTGCTGCATGACTTCATTGTCTAAATTAGCGCCAGCCACAGGTTCTGAACATTCCTTGTTGCTATCACTGGCATTAACAATACCATCAGCAATATCAACCCTAGCAATGAAGATTTTAAAAATCAGATCAGTCTAAATGATGAATATAAACTTCCTTCAAAATAAGTATCAGTAATGATCTGAAAACTTAATTGTTAAAGAAAACACATCCTTCTCATGAACATGTACAGGTTTTTTGGCTTGCTAAGTTATATTATTAAATTTACTAAATTTATTTTTATCTTACCCTGGGATGTTAGAGACCTGGAGAAAGTTTTCATAGGGAAATGGCTTCAAAAAAATACATGTACAAGGGCTGGAGATTTAGTTCAGTGGCACCATGCCTGCCTCACAGGACCTTGTGGTCCTGAGTTCAATCCCTGGTACCAAATATGTGTGTGCGCACGCGCGTGTGTGTGTGTGTGTGTATGTGTACAGGTATAAATTCCCTATGATGAATATCATTATGCATATCTAAAATGTGTCAGTAAAAATTTTTATAAACTATACACACACACACACACGCGCACGCGCACACACACAATGTGTGTTGAAACAATTTCCCTTAAAAAGGCACACTACCGCATAATGCTCCATGCTCCATTTGCCCTGATTAAATGCACACTATAGTATTCAACATGTTACCAAGAATAATAGGAGTAGTTTCCTACTGCATCTCTTCCATCATAAATAATTGAGTATGCAATATAGTTTGCTTAGAAAGATAACAGTACTACTACCAATAATGGAATATCAGTCATTTCCTCAGTGGTGAAAACAAAAGAGTTCAATCCCTGGTACCAAAAAAAAAAAAGTATCATCTGAGAAATAGGCAGTTTTCAGGATCCTAAACTAAGCTGGACAAACTCCAAGGAATTTGCTCATATTATATCTTTTGAAACAATTTCCCATTATTTCTACCTTTTAAATATCATTTTTTTCATTCCTATTTAGCTCAAACGCTCCCTTATTGCATAAGTTCTAAGTATGCCTTCAAAGCACAAAAACCAGAGCCATCATCACATAGAGGTACCGTGGCTGGCAGTGCCATCCCGCAGTTGTACAACATGGTATTCCTAAAATAAACATTTCTGCACATCCATTACTATTTTTCATTTCATATTTAACAGCTATGTCTAGTTAGCCTTTTTAAAATCTTTTATAAATGTCACTAATCCCAGTATTCAGGAGGCTGGGGCAGGAGAATCATCTCGAGTTCAAGACCAGCCTGAAAGGTCTCAAAAAAAAAAAAAAATCACTTCATCCAATTTTTTTTTAACTTTCCTATGAATCCTCCAAACAAGTACATTTTTCATATCTGTCTCCAGAATACAAAATGACATATGGAAAATATGAAATAATTTCATCGTAGCTTCTAAGGAAGGGAGATATATATCCTAAAGTAAAGGTCAGAGGTAATAAGAAAGGAGGTTAAAGCTTTCTTCCATCAAAAGGTAACAAGTCACATGAAGAGTAGAGTAACACCAGTTATTTTTTAACTTATACAAATCCAACTAGTATCAGCTAATCTAACAAGATCACGTGTAGATCTTGTTAGTTATAGTGACTAAGAATTTACTATAACTCCGGCACTCTAGAAGGCTGAGGCATGAGGATCACAAGTTGGGGCTCAGTCTGGGCAAATTAGTAACTCAGTGAGACCCTGTCTCAAAAAAGGGGAGGTGAGAGGGGTGGACAGGATGAGTTGGGAATACAGCTCAGTGCAAAAGCCCAGGTTTCAATCCCCAATACTGCAAAAATTTTAAAAAGTATAGCACTGAAGATAACAACAACAAAGGATGACTCTGAACACCATTTCACTCAGCCACAAGCAGCCATCATGTGGATCTGCATTCCCTGTGCCTCTGTCGAGATCACCGCTGCCTCTTGGTGTGACCACCTCTTGCACAGAGTATGAGTTTTAAAATCAAACAACACAGCCCTTTAAAGGTAAGCTTATCATTTCATCCAGTGTTCAGGGAGTAAAACCTGGCTGTATTGAACTTAGTACAAAAATACTTTATGGAAGAGTTATGAGAGTTTCAATGTTAACTTAGTGTGTATAATTTACATACAAGCACATACATGTGCACATTTACACTGACTTTCAGAAATCCTCTAGCAGGATAAGACTAGTGTCTAAGAAAAAAATAGTTTAAGATAATAAGCAATTGTATAATTCAATAAAAATTATAAAATGTTTCTTACTGATTATTAGGTCTTTGCTCATCACAATTAATACTTCCTGCTTCATTACTGCACACCAGGCTTTGCTGCTGTAAATTCTTAAGATCATGATTTATGCTGCTCTGCAGATCAAAAAGGTGCTGTTCCACAGCCGCTCTAACAGTTCTTTCTAAAACACTACAAAACACAACACATTTGTAAGAGCAGTCACCCTACTATTTAGCCACGTAAAATTAAATGTTAAAACCAGGCTGGGGATTTAGCTCAGTGGTTCTGGCGACTGCCTCGCAAGCACAAGGACCTGAGTTCGATCCCCAGTACAAAAAAAAAAAGTTAAAACCTATGACAAGGGGGGTGAGCAAAATGTATTATATGCACTAACCCTTCCTAAAAACTAGAGGGGAGGGCAGGTGATGAGGGATGATCAAAGTACGTAATGCACATGCACGAATCTGCCAAAATGAAACCCATTAACTTGTATAACCAATTTTTTTAAAAAAGTGGAAGCTGGGTGTGGTGGCGCATGCCTGTAATCCCAGCACTTGGGAGGCTGAGGCAGGAGGATCACTGTGAGTTCGAGACCAGCCTGGACTACATAGTGAGTTCCAGGTCAGTCTCAACTACATAGTGAGACCCTGTCCAAAAAACTAAAACAACAACAACAAAATGACAATTAAAACAAATTATCATAGCATATAAATGAGTAAAGTGTAAAATAAAATGCATGATACTGGCTTACATTTTCAAATAAAATTTACCTAGATAATCCTATACAAATCAACCATAATGTTACTACTATTTCTTGAATGAGAAGAATCGTTTGTCCCAGTAATTCACTCCTCACAATACAAATGCTATTTAAAAAGACAGACTTTTTAAAGCTAAGTTTGTATGGCAGAATAATTTACAAAGATTCAGTTAAATAAAAGAAACTATAAGGGGGCCAGGGATTTAGCTCAGTGGTTCCGCCACCTGCCTCAAAAGCACAAGGTCCCAAGTTCAATCCTTGGTACCAAAAAAAAAAAAGAGAAACTATAAGAGTATTACTCACATATTTTGCACAAACTCTAATTTTAAAAGTAAACTTAAAGGCCAGGGATTTAGCTCCGTGGCCTGCCTCACAAACCAAGGTCCTGAGTTGGATTCCCAGTACCAAAAAGTAAAAAAAGTAAAAAAACAAAAAAACAAAAACAAACAAAAAAAAAAAGCAAAAAAAGCAGACAAATCTGTATCAACATTCTTTCAATTATTTCAGAGGATCAAAAACATCTGAAAAAAGCTCATCTTTATTTTGTACAACCTGTGCAAAGGTTTCACCTTCATTTGTTGCTATTGCAGTACATAAAATAGTATCTAATTTATCATTTATGTATAATCTCTAAGGCTTAGTAACATTTTACATTTTAAAAAAAACTGTCTTTAGTGGGTACAGTGACCCAACCTGTAAGTCAGAAGCAAGCGGATCTTTTGAGCCCAGCAGGAGTTTGAGACCAGCCTGGGCAACACCGAAACAAAAATGTTGTCTTCCATAGGCATATTACTTACTCTGCAGAGGCTGGTAAGATGCTGGTGGGAGATATATGGGCACTGAAAACAAAGAAAGAAATCAGCTATAAAAATGTGCTGAAACTGCCCCCATTGAATTACCTTGAAACAACCAGAAGAGCATGTACTAACTTGCACATTTCCACTTACGTGTCGAGTTGGACATATTCTGTAAATCTTGTTGGTAAACATTTCAAATATTTGTTTTGTTTTGGTACCGGGGATTGAACTCAGGTCCTTGCGCTTGCAAGGCAGGCCACCGAACCGCTGAGCTAAATCCCCAGCCCCAACATTTCAAATATTTGTTTTGTTTTGGTACCGGGGATTGAACTCAGGTCCTTGCGCTTGCAAGGCAGGCCACCGAACCGCTGAGCTAAATCCCCAGCCCCAACATTTCAAATATTAACAAAGAAAATAAATTTGAGATAATATATTAACAAAGCCAAAATTTTAAAGTGAATATTATTTACTATGAGCAAAAGCTTTACATGCATTTATCTTAAAATAGTTCTTCTCAATATTACAGGAATTATCATTATCTCCCTCTCTCCACAAAACTAAAGCTCAATGGGTCCAGAGATGTAGCTCAGTGGTGTTGTGCTTGCCTGGCGAGCACAAGATCCTGAGTTCAATTCCCAGTACAGGAGGGGGAAAAAAAAACCCTAAAGCTCAAGGATATTAATTAACTTGCCCAAATGCACACATCCTAGAGTTGGGAATCCCAAACCCACTACTAATAAAAATGTTCTACTGCCTAGCATGAGTATTAACAATGTGATTCTAATATTCTAAAAAATGACTTTCATTCAAAAGACCTTTAAATATAAAAAGATTTGTTCCAAGGCTAGAGGAAAAAAAATTTTTTCTGGTTTTTAGTTTACTGTGGACACTTTGGTACTTGGCTTGGAGGAAAATTACTTGTACTCAATTTAATAATAGCATTAGCTATTCATGAATGTCTTTTTTAAAAAAAATCGTCTGTCAGGTAAGAGGTAGGATATGTTTAAATGATGCTAGAGGCTGAAGCTGGGGCAGCTAAGCATAACTAACAAGCTGACTTTTGACTGATCACAGAAGACAAGCCAAGGCCCATCAACCTGGTTAAGAACCTGCTGGCTGGCAGCTTTGGCAGTGTGTGCCTGGTGTTTGTGGAGCACTCTATGGACTCTGTCTGTTAAGGTGTAGGGAGACTGGGGCAGGGGTTGGGAAGGAGGCCTGAGTGAGACACAGCCCCTGGACAGAAATGCAGCCCATAAATACAAGTTACTATGTTAAGCCTAGAGAATCACTCTTTCAGAAGTGGGCAGAAGTTGTATCTCATGTAGCAGAGCCAGATAGCCCAAGGTGGGCAGCCTCTAACCACCCCATTGACAGCTCCTATGTAAAGGTCTCTGCCCCAGTTTCTTGCGACCCCACACCATACTCCGGAAATGGGAAAGAAAAAGTAGCTGCCCAAAGCTGATTTCAGCCAACACCAACATTTTTTAAAGGATAAAACGTGTCCCCTTAAAGCCTGCCCCCAGAAGACAACTAAAGAGATGGAGGGTTGTTCTGGAGGTGTCCTTTGACACACTCCCCCGGGGCCAGAGTGCACCATCACCATCTCTTGCACATTGCTCTGAACACTGGAGTACTCGCACACTCAGCCTGTCACCATATGGCAGCCTGGGAAGCTAATGATGTCCTCAGTGACTCAACCTCTTCCAAGAAAAGCAGATGATCAGCTCTCTGCTGGGTTAGGCTGATCCTCACAACTTCCAGGTGAGAAAGCCATTAGTTGTACTGAGGCTATGGAGAGCAGAAACACATCGTTCCTCAGTGACCAGGAACACGAAGCAAGGGCTTACTGGAGACCAAAGTCTTCATGTCCTGAGACTCTATATTTGAAACTTCATCCTAGTTTTGTAACCTTAATTTAGTACACAGTAAGGTAAGTGTCAGCTCATGGCCAGAGTACACCTATGGGCTGCAAATATGAGTCTTGGGGGGAAACATATGTTGGGGGCTGTTATGTTGGATCCAGTTTCCTTTACAGAAAAATAGTTTCATGAAATCTTTTTCTGGGCAGCCTTGGGCAACAGGTTCTTTTGATGCCTTTCACTCAAGAGAGAAGCAGGCTGAGGCACAGCTCCTGCTGGGGTCATGATATGTGAAGATCAGGATTAAAGCAACTGGGCTGCTTAGGGCATTGCGTAACAGCAAGCAGATACTTTTCCAGCAGATGGTAAAATGCTGTGAGTGCTTCTAAGGCAATGGTCATTCCAAGTAGAACTGTCTAGTCAGGGAAAAACAAGGCATATCCGACATCAGAACCAGTACTTGTCTATGGGGAGGAGTGACCACTGTCCCACTCACATTGTGACTTATACACAACATCTGTAGCTACCTCATCATTTTTTAAAATGCTGATTCAAATTAGTACTATGAAGATCCTCTAAAAAAAGTATAAATACAATCTCTAACCAACACATACAATCACCTATGAAGTTAATATTCTCAGGATTCACTGCAGGAAACCAAATCAGTATCATTTACCATGCACTCAAAAATCATCAGGTCTCCCTTTAAAAAGTCTATTACTAGCAAACTGCACAAGTGCTTTATCAGAAATAGTGAGGCATGCCGGGAGTGATGGCGCACGCCTGTAATCCCAGCACTCTGGAGGCTGAGGCAGGAGGATCCGTGTGAGTTCGAGACCAGCCTGGGCTACACAGTGAGTTCCAGATCAGTCTCAACTACATAGTGAGACCCTGTCTCACAAAATCCAAAAAACAAAAAAAAAAAGAAAAAGAAAAAGAAAAAGAAAAAAAAGAAACAGTGAGGCATCTTTCTTTGGAAAACAAAGCTTCCTACCTATAAAAAATTTCTTAAAATGAGTGTGGTGGCACATCCCTATAATCCTAACACTTTGGAGGCTGAGGCAGGAGGATCAGTGCAGGTTCGAGGCCAGCCTGGGCTACACAGTTAAGTTCAAGGTCACCCTGAATTACATAGCAAGAATTTATTTCAAAACACCCAAAAAAGTCAAACTACAAATATTAGGCTGGCATTTTGTTTACTTTGTGGTAATGGTGACTGAATCAGGGCCTTTGCACTGAGCTACATCCCCACTCCTTTTTATTTTGAGACAGGATTTCCCCAAATTTCCCAGCCAGAATCAAACTGTGATATTTCTGCCTTAGCCTCACAAATGCTGGGATTACAGACCTGCACCATTATGCCTGGCTTATACTGGGCTTTGATGAATGGATTATTCTCATCTCTACAAGTCCTTGTTTAAAAAAAAAAAAACAACTTCATGCTGGTCCTCTCAAGAGAAGTCAAGAGAAGCACTTAAGAACATACTCCTATTTAAATTAAACAGAGTTCTTTGAAACGTCATTCCTGAAATCAGAAAAGCCCGTGGGGGGAGGGCATACGTGCACACACAGAATTGTAGTGATCAGTCTATTTTAGCAACTTTCATAAAATCTTTTTTGGGGGGTACCAGGGATCAAACTTGGGTCCTTGCGCTTGCAAGGCAGGCAGCAGAACCTCTGAGCTAAATCCCCAGCCCAACTTTCATAAAATCTAAAAGTCAAAATATTTAGTGATTGGTCAGATGTGGTAGTGCACACCTGTAATCCCAGCACACAGGAGGCTGAGGCAGGAGGATCTGTGTGAGTTCGAGACCAGCCTGGGCTACACAGTGAGTTCCAGGTCAGTCTCAACTACATAGTGAGGCCCTTTCTCAAAAAACCAAAAAAAAGTTATTTTTGTAGGGGAAAAAAAACCCCAAAAGATGAATGAGGCCTTTCCAAAAAACTTTTACTACCAACTAGAATACCTTTCTGACATTTGCTATAGTCATTTATTATTTATATTTTAAATTTAAACTATGAGTTATTTAATTATACAAGGTACAATGTCATGTTGTACAATCTGTTGTACTTTCCTTAATAATATACTCAATCTACTAAACTTAGATGATTCCTTATCTCAGAGATTCATTTTAGTTTTAGTATTTCTTAATCCCCCAATAATGTAGTTTATACTGAATGGTGTGAGGGATAATTTTAAATCTAATGCCCTTCTCTTCATCATTTAATTTGTGGTTTTTGGTAAACGTGCTTATTTTATAGTAACTTCTGAAAAATATTCTAATTCCCAACCATTGATGCCATTAGTCTACTACTAATGCTGTGGTTTAATTTTTGGTAGCACTCATAACCTCTCTGTTCTTTCTCAAATTTGCCATTGCCCATTGCTTCTCTGCCAGAGAAATTTTCTCCTTTTATCGTCAGATTAGATTATCACTAAAATGCCAGTGTATACACAAATACAAGACATTTCATAAAGAATCAAACAAAGCCAGATGTGGTGGCACACACCTGTAATCCCACTCAGGAAGCTGAAGCAGGAGGACTGCAAGAGTTTGAGGCCAGCCTGGGCTACTATGTAGTTGAGATTGACCTGGAACTCACCATGTAGCCCAGGCTGGTCTCCAACTCACAGGGATCCTCCTACCTCAGCCTCCCAAGTGCTGGGATTACAGGTGTGGGCCACCACACCCGGTTTAAAAAAAAAATTTTTTTTTAAAGACAACTCAGTAGAAAATTGGCAACCAACTTGAAGAGACATTTCACAAAAGGAACCAGCTAATATATAAAATGACAACAAAATATTGTAACAAGTATGCACCAGATTATTTCTGACAAAGTACTGGCAAAGTCATGAAGCAATGGAAACTTTATATACTGCCAGTATGGTTGTAAACTGACATGGGCACTCTAAAAAATAATCTGGCAATATTTACTAAAGCTGAACACAGTAGATATATGTCTTTATATGCATGCCATATATACCAGAAGCTGTATACCAGAAAATACACAGCAAAATTGTTCATAATGGTGAAAAAGACATATTACATATAAACATGTTATGATAATATCTCTTACTAATCAAAAAAAATTTGTCCACCAACGTAAGATAGGTCATTGTGGTGTAATCATATAACAAAATAATTTACAGCGAGGGAATGAATAAATCAGTGACATGCAAAAACAGATAATTCTCACATTCATATTTAGCATAAGAAACTGTACTAAAATTTTACACACAGAGGTTTGTTTTCACCAGTCATGCTATTATACTCAGGGGTATAAATTCTGATTTGATTTTCATAAATGATTACCATAAAGTCAACACAGCGGTTATCTTAGTGGTGAAGGAGGGGGTACCAGGATTTTGAGAGCTACTGTGGTGTCAGTGTTTATTACTAGATGTGGGTGGTGATATATGGATATTTGCTTTTTACTAATTTTTACCAATTGTTTGCTATGAATCTGTTTCATGGATACTTATATATACAAAACATTCCAAATTTAAAAGGAAAAAAGAGCCTTAAGAGAAGGTATATTCCTAGGTCTTTCCTTCACACCTCTCAAGTACAGCCCAAGAAGCATCATTAATGATTCTTAGCTGAGTAAAATGTCAAAGAAAAAAAAAAGTTTGCCAGGCATAGAGGCCCACAATGGTAATCCCAGCAAGTAGGAGGGTTTTGAGGTAGGAGGATCACAAGTCCAAGCCTGGGGAATTTGGTGACTCTACAAGACTCCTGTCTCAACATAAAAAATAAAAAGGGAGGGGATGGGATTTAGCTCTGTGGTGCCTACCACCTGCCTCACAAGCACAAAGTCCCAAGTTAGATCACTGGTACCAAAAAAATAAATAAAAATTTAGGGCCTGGGGATTTAGCTCAGCGGCTAGGTGACCTGCCTTGCAAGCGCAAGGACCCGAGTTCAATCCCTAGTACCTAAATAAATAAATAAATAAATAAATAAATAAATTTAAATTTTTTTAAATTAAAAAAGTAAAAATAAAAAGGGTTAGGGATGTAGCTCAGTGAAAAGACCCTCATTTCAATGCCCACTTTTTTAAAAGATCTTTTTAAATCCGTATTAGTAATTCTGAAAAACACTAAACAGATCTATATCCAGCCCCCCAAAATACTAACTTTTAGTAAGATTCCCAGTTAGTCAAAGAAGCCAAAGAGAGAGAAAAGGTCTACTGGGTTCAAAATAGACAGAAAGAAAGGTTAATTCGTCTTTTGCTTCCTATCCCTTTTAAATGACACTGGAAAATATGAGTCTATATAAAAAAAAATTAGCAAGACAGATTATTAGTGTGACAGTAAAGCTATCAGCCCTGAAAAATAAGCTAAGACAAATGAACAGCTCCTTTTAAAAAAGACCTCCAGGGCTAGGGATTTAGTTCATTGGTGCCACTGCACCTTCCTGGCAAGCACAACGTCCTGAGTTTAATCCCTAATACCGCAAAAACACCTCCAATGGATATAAACATAAAACAAAGCAAAACTGAACAATATAGCTATGTACTTGTAGCTAAATAGCACAGATAATACAAAGTTGTGAGTCCTGCTGAGTATGGTGATGCACACCTGTAACCCCAGCACATGCAAGGCTGAGGGAGGAAGATTGCAGTGAGTTCAAGGCCAACGCTGACTAAGTCACAGGATCCACTAAAAGTTGGTTTATTTTGTATACTCTAGACTGCTCACAACCCAGACACCACCGTTTTTCTACTCTGAAGTCAGCTTAAATTTTAACAAGGCAGGCCAGTGGTATATGCCTGAATCCCCAGCACTCAGGAGGCTGAGGTATGAGAATCATTTGAGCCCAGGACCGGTCTAGTCATCAAAGTGAAAACCCAATCTCAAACAAAAAGACAAAACCTGGGGCCGGGGATTTAGCTCAGTGATTCTGCAGCCTGCCTCACAAGTGTAAGCACCCGAGTTTGATCCCCAGTACCAAAAACAAAACAAAACAAAACCTGCTGTTATTTCCTCAAGAAACTATTGCTAATGGCAATGTAAACTTGGTCAAATCCTTCAAGGGGTCTGGAAATACTTATTAAAAACCATCTAAAGGGCCAGGGATTTAGCTCAGTGGTTCTGCCGCCTGCCTGCCTCGCAAGCACAAGGGCCTGAGTTTGATCCCCGGTACCAAATAAAACAAAACAAAACAAATCTAAGTTCACTCTTTGAGGTCAATAAATTAATTCAAAATTGAAAAAAAGGGTCAAAGAACAAAGTTTGCTTGTTTGCTTGTCAGTAGTAGTATAGTACTGATATGCTTGCTGAGACAACTCAAAATATCAAAAATATAAAATCTCAATGACCAAGCTTACCCAAGCAGCAGTTCACCATCCTAATAAATGTCTGGAAGCTGATGGTCCCACTTTGAGCACCTCTTATAATTACAGAGACCAAATAAAACTTGTATTAATCTCAGTAAATGTATATTAAAATATTCATACAAGTTTTTATTTTCCTGAAGTATATATGGGGGGAGGGAGAGAGGGGTGCATTAGATACACACACATGCTCTGGGGAGGGACAGTGGGTGGAAATTGAACCCAAGGCTTTATGCATGGTAGGCAAGTGCTCTATCATTGAACCGCACTCCCCAACCCACTATAAATATTACTGTTAACACATATCTCAATGTAATTTAAATGCAGTTAAGAGGCAATAAAAATTAAATTGGAAGGTCATGTAAACACATAATAAAGCACAAATGAAATGTCAGACTAAATAAGCATGAACATTAATTTATAACATAAATTTTACAACAAATTTAACTATTTTTTTAAGAAACTACACATAAAGATCAGGAGGCCCACAAGAAAGGTAACAGTCATATTCAGCTTTATTATTTATTTATAATTTTTTTCTAAATAATACTGATACCTCTCCTCTTCCTTCAGCTATTACAGTTATTTTTAAAAGACTATCATTTCTTCTATTTTTAAACCACCATTTAATCAATACAATCTTAATGAAAAACATCTAGTATGCTAAACATATAGCTCTGCCCTCCTAATGAAAGGGATTAATAAACCATGGCGCTTACAGAGAATAAGGACAGAATTTAGCAAACTAAGAAATATGTATGGCTGAGACAGTTTCTGAATAGAAAACAGTGTACCCTCTAGAGCCAGCTTTGTGAAGGGATAGTGGCTCTAGACTATCATATTTTTTCCAATGTACTCAGTATGCCATATAAAAATGGTCTTTTTATACATGAAAAAGACTGGAAGTACTATTTTAGATCAGAGCTCTATCCTTACACTCTTTTCAACCTAGTTGTAGCCTAGAAGCTAGAAATACAAGTCAATTCAACCTAGCAATTCTACTTCCAAAGGTTCTGAAATTTTACCACAACCAACAAACAAGCTAATATAAATACAAATTTTAAGAATTATATGTTATGAGAACTTATTTTTTATGAGAGCTGTAACATTAATGCAGAAAATTCTTCAGTAAGGCTGCTGCTTTAAATTTTCTTGCTCTTTTTCACATACAAATGTCAAACTTTCACATACAGTTATAATTTGTGTTCAGTGCTTAAGTGAGTCTATAATAAAATGCTCAAAAGCTTAAGTTCATTCAGCTGAAGTATTTACCTTGTTGATGCTGTAACATTACTTGATTCCAGGATGTTTTCAGTCATCCTTAATTGCACCACCTCTGGCATGTCATTTGATTTTTCTGCACCCTCTTCTGGAAGTTCTTCTATATGTTCCAGCTTTTCGTCTTCTTCCTCAGAAAGATCATTAACCTATATATAAAAAAAGAAAACTCCAATTGGAATTTAATGAAGCTGTTAACTGAAATATCTAAGACATACTTACTCTAAAACAAATTTACACACAAAAAACTTATTTAAAAAAAATTTCCTCACTAGGGCGGGGATGTAGCTCAATGGTGCTGCACTTGCTTAGCTAGCACAAGGTCCTGAGTTCGAACCACAACACCAAACAAGAAAACATTTTCCTCGCTTTCAAGGACCAAGGTATCTTTTAATAGAGTAAAAGCCAACTTTTGCATGCCAAAATAAAACTGTAGGGCTAGAGTTATAACTCAGTAGAAGAACACTCACCTAGCATGCACCAGGGCTGGTTCAATCCCCAATACAACCAACCAAATTAAAATGTATATAAAGAAAAAAGGAGACAACAAAACCAGAAAAATATTACCATATGAGGGGGGGTTACACAGATTCTCACTAGTAGTTCAGGAGGGGCTTGAACTCACTATGTAGCCTCAACTGACCTTGAACTTGAGGCAATCCTGCCTCAGCCTACCCAGTACTTGGATTATGGGCATATGCCACCAAGCCTGGCTTCAAGTACTAACACTTTGAAGCAGGAAGTAATCATTATGTTAATATATCACTAAGAATATGAAAAAAGACTGCAGCTGAGCACGGTGGCTCACACCTGTAATCCCAGCTGTCTGGCAGACTGAGGCAGAAGGACTGAAACTTTGAGCCAATACTGGGTAAAGTAGTGAGACACTAACTTAAAATAAGTACATATAAGGGCTGACCATACCCTCAGTGGTAGGCCCTGGGTTCAATTCCTAGTACTACCAAAAAAAAAATTAAAAAAAAAAAAAGGCTGCATACTGTAGTTACCATTAAGAAAGCTCCATTTTTAAAATTAGTTTTATAGGGCCGGGGATTTAGCTCAGCGGTTCGGTGGCCTGCCTTGCAAGCGCAAGGACCCAAGTTCAATCCCCGGTACCAAAAAACAAAAGTTAAAATGAGTTTTATAAATCTACTAGTAGTTACAAAAGACTTACTGATTACTGTGGCTTTCAGGTGCAAAAAACAAGATAGAGTTAAGTGTAAAAACAAAGATAAGAAAATGACTTAAATATGTAATGTATGTTTCAGAAAATATCAGCTAACTTCTAAATAACTCAGATTAAATTTTCTATGAAGTAGGTCCCAACAACAAAGAATTTATGTTTCAATCAGGATGAAGTTATAATTATCTTTCCAGTGGGGGCTGTAAAATGACCTCCATTATCAAATTCACTAAGTAATCATTATAGTTAAAAGATACAAAAGGAAGTGGGATGCAGCTCAGTGGTAGAGCATTTGCCTAGCATGACGAGGCCATAGATTTTATCCCCTATCTCTCTCTTTCTCTCTCTCTCTCTCTCTCTCACTCACACACACACACACACACACACACACACACACACACACACACACGAAAGCCAGGCATGGTGGCATATGCCTATAATCCCAGTATAAGCCTCAACCCAGCCTGGGCAACAGCAACATAGCAAGACCTGTCTTAAAATAAAAAGGGCTGAGGTTGTAGCTCAGTGCAAAGGCCTTGGATTCAATCCCCAATGTGGGAGGAGGGGAGACAACTTATGCCAATCAAGAAATTACCTCTAAACAGTCTTAATATCTTTCACAAGTTGATACTAATTATTAAAAACACGAAGAGATACAGTTGCACTTTTTAGAGTATAGTTCAACCTAGCATGTACAGGGCCCTAAATTTAAACCCTGGCACCAGCAAAATCAACAACAAAAAATACATTTGTCTGTTCTAACTAAATGCAATGGGAACACTTAAAATAAATCTATTTACTACTACATGATACAATGGTATTTTTCCTGATATATGTCATTGCTAGAATACTACCAGACCAAAAAAAAAAACAAAAAATCAAGAACGAATTCAACATTTGGGCCGGGGATTTAGCTCAGTGGTTCCACCATCTGCCTTGTAAGCTCAAGGTCCCAAGTTCAATCCCCAGTACCCCCCCAAAAAATAGAATACTACCAGAAAGTACCAAAATGCAAAGAAAAGATATGTAATTATACTGCGATACTCTATCACACTCCTTATCAGTAAGTACAGACTGCCTACTTTAAATTATAGTAACTCAGGGTTTGGAAGCAGAAAAATCTGTATTTACAGATCCTTGCTAGCCCTATCTCAGTCTTATATATAAAATGAAGATGTTACACTACTTACCTCACAGAGCACCACTACAGTTTACACATAAAAAACTAATAATAGCTGTCATTACAACTAAATTATTCAAATTTCTATATAGCATAAGTCCTCATTTATACATATAGTATCATTTTTTATTTTTTGTTTGTTTGTTTGGTTTGGTACCTGGTATTGAACTCAGGCCCTTGCACTTGTGAGGCAGAGGGTGGAACCACTGAGCCAAATCCCTAGCCCCATATAGTATCATTTTTATAATAAAAGAGAACACTGGGGACAGGGATTTATCTCAGTGCTGCCGTCACCTGCCTTGCAAGTACAAGATCCTGAGTTCCATCAGAGAGCGAGAGACAGAGAGAAAGAGAGAGAGAGAATGAATATCACCCGAACTAATATCTGTCATCTAAACTATCAGCAGAAGCTCTCAACCACTGCTGTATCTACTAGAGCCAAATTTTTGCATTAATAAATGAAACTCCAAAAAGTGCTGAATAAACCTTGCTTCCTACAAGTATCAAAGTCAGCAGAAAAAGCAAAAGATGCCAAATCAGCCACATGTGCCTGTGTATTTAAATATACAGACAACACAGCAGCATTTGACTAATTAGACTAATTCAAAACAAAATTAGACTAATTCAAACACACAACCAAATTGTGCTGGTCAGGAAGATACTTAGTTCTATGTATTTCTAAGATATTTAGTTCTACTTTCTCACATATCAAATTGAAATTATCAAATCTGCTTTTAAACAAACAAACATAAACTTCATAATCTATACTTCTGTTGTTTGCAACTCTCACACCAATCCGGAAATGTAGACTAAAAATAGATTAGAAAATAAATTCTGGTTATTAAGCAAGAGGTGCCAAGATAATAAAAAATACATCACTGCTTCTTAGGATCCACTGAACTATCCATTTACTGGGCAAATTCTGTTCAATCAATATTATCAATATGATAATACTTCAACCTCTTTTCTATTCCTGAGCAATTCTATAGAATTCAACATCACCTCCTGATACTGATGAATATAAAGCACACACAGTTGAAGTCAATTTTACTAGTGCTTTAAAAAAAAAAAGGACCAGGTGTAGTGGTGCACCTCTGTAATCCCAGCAATTGGGAGGCGGAGGCAGGAGCATCACTGCAAACTCTAGGCTAGCCTGGGCTACATAGTGAAACCGTGTCTCAAAAAAAAACCCTCATTCAACACATTTGAGATATAGATTTATTTCAGCATACATAACAAAGCCATAAGATAATAGAAAATTATACCACAATATAAAGTCAGAAGGCACAACTTGCAGATTTTGAGAAGTCAAAATATAAACATAAGGTCAAGGTGGTACCACCAGTTTCTTGTAGGTCAATCTTAGAAATATACAAAATCAGTGAAACAAACACCACTATTCTACTTTGAGCAATTATTAATTTTATTTTTAAAAATTATGGAATTAAAATATAATTTAATGAAAGCAAGGGGACATGTAGAATTTCTCCACAAATGGGATTACTTATGGGCATCCAAAGACATTAAAATTTAAGGTATATTTATCCACTATCCTCGTGTTACTTTTTATCAAACAAGGATAATCTGGAGGAGATACATCAGTCCTTTAACTAAATCTTCTAAAAAAATTAAGCAAACTCTAATAATTGGAAATCTTCAAAAAATGTTTTAAAAGGTTTATGTATTGATTCTGGCAATAAATTTTACCTATCTGATTTACTTAATATATAAATATGCATTCTAGCAGGACACTGTGGGACAGGTCTGTTATCCTAGCACTCAAGAGGCTGAGGCAGGGGGATTGCTTCAAGTCCAACGTTGACTATTACTGAGACTGTCTCAAAATAAATAAATAAACAAACAAACAAACAAATGTTCCATGTGCGATTCTTATACGTGATTTCCTCAGTTTACACATTACAATTCTAATCTGGCTCCTCCTACTGTTTCTTTAAAGTGGCTCATACTTGGAAGATGGTGACAGAAAGGAGAAAACAGCTGGGTGTGGTGGTGCACACCAGTGATCCAGAGGATCACCTAGAGTGTGAGGCCAGCCTGGGCTACAGAGTGAGTTCAAGGCCAGCCTGGACTACATTGCAAGACTCTGTCTCAGAAAAAGATATAATAAATAACCACCCAACCAGACACAAGGAAAACCTGTAAATAAACTACCTTTCAAGAGATGATGCCTTATAACCTCATACAAATGAAGAGAACCAATCAAAATATCCATTAATAGTGTGATCATATAATTTATCATCAAAACCTGGCCGTGTTTGACAATGACAGGTGAAGCCACTAAACACTAACCAGAAAAAGACATAAACCAGCACTGTTCTGAGAAAACCCAAATGTACTATCACCTTTTCTAGCAGAAATGGCAGTACAAATTTTAAAGTTTTATCCATACAATAAGGAAGTACAAAGATTTTTAAAAAGGACTCTGTATTCTAATAATACAGATCTCCAAGATACACTCATTTTTGGTTTGGGGGGAGGTTTTTTTGGTTGTTTTGAGACAAGTTTTCCCTACGCAGTTCAGGCCAGCCTTAAACTCACTATTATAGACTAGGCTGGCCTCAAACTTGCAGTGACACTCCTGCTTCAGCCTAATGAGCGCTGGGGTTACAGACATACGTCACCATACCCAACTCCAAGATAAAGTGCAGGAACTACAGAACTGTGCTATCACACCCAGCTACTTTTTAAAATAAGAAGCAACAATCTGGGTGTGGTGGCGCACACTCGGAGGCTGAGGCAGGACTACATAGTGAGTTCCAGGTTAGTCTCAACTACATAGTGAGATCCTGTCTCAAAAAATAAATAAATAAAATAAATAAAATAAGAGGCAGCACTGCCCATTTAAAAAAAGTAGCAGTCCCTTCCACACCGAAATGAGTAAATTCATGGATTATAATGAGATTGAACCCATGGCCGTGCACATAGTAGGGATGCACTCTACCACTGAGTTATACCCCTAGCCTTCATTATTTTGAGACAGGTCTCACAAAGTAGCCCAGGGAGGCCTGAAACGTGCAATCTTCTGACCTCAGCCTCCCTTGGAGCTGGGATTACAGGCATGTGCCACCATACCTAGGCACAGATTATAATTTAATAAAAGCTTGGTGGCAAACCACTTAAGTGCATGTCTTAGATACTTTTCTCATTGCTGAGACAAAATACCCAACACCCAAAGATAAAAGGAGAAATGTTTATTCAGCTCAGTTTGTACAGGCTTCGTTTCATAATTGGCTGGCTCCACAGCAGAGTGGCCCATGGCAGACAGGTATCGCAGAGGAGATGACGCCCACACGGTAGCAAAAGCAACCAAGGGAACCTTAACAGCATGTTTCTGCCCCTTTTATCTTATCCAGACTACTGGGATTAGGGCAGTACCAAATCAATCAATGTAGGTCTAGTAATCAGATACCCTTAATCCTAGGGTCACATACTCTAAATTGAGCCACCTCTGAAAAAGCCACCTATGACCTCATGAGGCTTGGGGGGACATCTAGACCCACACCATAACAGTGCATAAGGAAAACCTACAAACAGATTTAATCACAAATTCTAAAGCTGAGGACCAATATGGCCTTATGATAAAGTGCAATTACTTAGCTTTAATATTCTTATTTCATAAAAGGGAAAGTTACCAAGACCCTTGAAACAGTTTCAACCACCAAAGTGTATCAACAACAAAAGATCAGAATGTAACTTCAGAAATGGAATTCAATATTCTACAGCCACAAGAATTAAAAAATTAGCCGGGCCTGGCAGCACATGCCTGTAATCCCAGCACTCGGGAGGCTGAGGTGGGAGAATCACTGTGAGTTCAAGACCAGCCTGGGCTACACAGTGAGTTCCAGGGCGGTCTCAACTACATAATGAGACCCTGTCTCAAAAAAATAACAATAAAAAGAAAAATTAAAAAATGATTTGCAGCACAAGGGCCCGAGTTCGATCCCCGGTACAAAAAACAAACAAACAAAAAACAGACAAATAAAAAATGATTTGCAACCTAAACTATAAATCTCCATAGACACTTTCCATTAATAACAATGATTCCACTATGCTGACCTATTACAGTAATCAAGGAACAAGTTCATATTTCTAAGTTTGTATAAGGCAGGGCATGTAACTCAGTGGTAGAGGAATTCCCTAGCATTTTAAGCCACTGGGTTCATTCCCAAGCACCACAAAAATAAAAATATAAGTTTGTATTGATCTTTTTTTACTCTACCTTAAATTTCTCACCCTTTGCTTATACAGTATTCTTCTAAGCCAGTTTCTTTGCAATAGCTATAATACAGTTATAAAACAATGCCAAAATTTATAGGAAAAAAACTCCACCAAAACAAACATAAAAATCTCTATTACCGAGCCAGGCATGATGGCCCACATTTGTAATCCAAGCATTCAGAAGGCTGAGGCAGAAGGATTGCTGCGAGTTCAAGTCCAGCCTGGGCTACGTAGTGAAACTCTGTCCCCCCAAAAAATATCTACCATATACTCTGACTTACCTAGTTTGGCCTGGGGATTTAGCTTAATGGTAGAATACTCTCCTAGTATGCTAAAGGCCCTAGGTTCAATCTCCAGTACCACAAAAATTAAAAAGTAAATGCCTTTTAGCCAGGCATGGTGGCACATGCCTGTAATTCCAGCACTTGGGAGGCTGAGGCAGGAGGATTGCTGTGAGTTTGAGACCAACCTGGGCTACACAGTGAATTCCAGGTCAGTCGTCAGTC